GATGTGGTGTTTGAATTAACTAATGATTCTTTTGTACTTGTTGAATGCTCGATTTCGAATTCTAAATACAGTACATTCGTTGTGCCTGTGTCTTCTTAATTCAATTGCGTTAATCCTGGAATTCCTAATTCATACTATAATTAGAATACTATACTACTGCTAGACTATGTTAAGTGTACAAATTTAGAATGCGGTAAAGGAGAAAGATTTCGTAAAATGAATCATGAGGATATAAAAAATTGCACTACATTACGTCATCTCAAACCAGTGCATACTCAATGTTATGCAGATAATTCATTGATGAGTTGCGATGCAGTTCATGAAGATGGGCACAAGTTTGGTCAATGTTTGTCCTGTGGCAGTTTCCACTTCCTTGATTCGTGTAATTCTCGTAATTCTAAGTGCTTTAAATGTGGTGATATTGGATATATTCAGTCAGTTTGTAATACTACTGTTCATCTTGCTGCAACTAATGTTAAGTTTTGTAATACTGATTTTATTAAGTTTAGTGTTCTTAATGATCATTTATCCTTATCAACGACTTCAAAAGACAGTGTAGAGTCATATAGCAGTTCAGAGTTAAGTGAAACTCAGAATTCTTGCGAGACAACAGTTTCTTATGTTATTGTACCAAATATGGTTTTTCCTAATGATTCACATATTTCTGATTAAATTCCTTACAAATCTGAGGAAAGTGTATTGAATGAACCTGGTCATGATCGAAAACCTAATGTAGTTTTGATAGATGCTGATTATTCTATTGGTCTTTTACTCTGCAATGACATTTTTAATAAATTTGAGAAAACTATTTCAAAAGAATCAAATCGTGATGTTCTATCAAACAATATTTTTCCCCATATTGCATTTGTTTCTTGTGGGAAACTTTTTCAATCTGAATCACAAGTACTAAATGACCTCGATTTTGATTATAATTCGGATTATTTCATATCATCTGCTGTTTATCCTTATTACGATGTTACTTCTAATGTTTACTCTCGTCAATGTGAGAAATATATTTTAAATGAGACCACAATCATAACTTGGGGATATAATTATGCAACATTATTTCTTGGGGGGGAGGATAGTGTTGGGAAATGTGTTCTATAAATTCTATATGGTGGTTTCTGTACACAACGGATACGGCGATTGTATACAGTCTCAGGAAGCAAGTGAGTCTGTTTCGATTTCGTTTGTTAGTTCTAATACTAATGAATACAATCTAGATAATATTGAGACTTTATTCCGTACACTGTCGGACAAACACAGGATGAAGTTAAGAAGAAGCCGTACAGTCGATTACAGACATTTAGACACAAATTTAAGCTGTGGCGGATGTGATGTTTGAGTGAACTAATGCTTCTTTTGTACTTGTGGAATGCCTGATTTCGTATTCCATATACAGTACATTCGTTTGTGCTTATCTATTACTTCTTGATCCAATTGCGTTATTTCTGGGATTCTTAGTTATTACTATAATTCAAATATTCTTAATTATCATACACCAGTACCAACATTATAACTACAGAGACGACTAATGGAGGTCTTAATTCAGAGGTTGATAAGGAGTCGAAAATCCCCATTTATGTAGGAAGCACCGTAAAGATCTCAACGCCATGAAAGGATCTTAGAATAATGTATTCAAATGGGACCTCTCAACTGAAAGGACAAGATTAAATCTCCAACTGAGTAATCAGAATCACACTATGGCTCATTGAATGAGAAAGCTAGACGATACCGGTTCTACTTCGCTAAGGTCATTGACACAGTAACTCATGTATTTCCCACAATGAAGATTGCAAAGGTAGGTTTCACTAGCACACTTTTATCTTGCCTCTGAAACTACCTAGAGAACACGATATTTCGAACCAAGGTAAATATAGTCCAAGAGAGTCAGAAAGTCTAACATCAATAGTTTCACAAGAACCAATCTTAGATCAACTCCTGTAACTGATCTTTATAGCAACCAGTTAGATGAATGTAACCCGGCTGCACCGACTTGTTGAGATGAGATAAAGTTCCGGAAGGATTCATTTGAGCTACAAAAAAAACTTACAACAATGCAGGAGTTAGTGAAACGTGACCTACTGAAATATAATATCATGGTAATTATGCCATGTTCAACAAAAATTTATGTCTTATCGATGAAAATCCACTCCGGACGTTTCCAAAGAGCTTCGTTTCGAACTTGTAGTTACAGAGAGGTTAGACATAAGCTCAAACTACATAGGAGATACAAAGAGACAAATTCATCTCTGAAATTTATGCTTAGACAACTTGCTGTATTCATGCCAGAGTTGCTCCGAACACTGATTATAGCGTATGCATGCCCTCTCCTTGACGTTTACAAGGTCGTCAGTACTCTTTACTTTAGAACAGACACCGTTCTCCTAGACCAGACAACCTGGTGGAGGATAGATCTTAATGAACGTATTACGATGGCTGACTTCAACACCTGGGCTTAGTTTCGTTGAACTTTAGGAGAATACAAGGTGATCTGATAGTGGCATACCGTATAGTAAGTACACCAACCCAACCGAATGCGTACATATTACCAGCGCATCATCATTACCACCCACAAGGCTACCCCGCCTAGTAAAATTGCACACCAAATATGAAACACCTAGATACCCTTACATTTTTCATCATTAAGGGTTTTCCTCCTCTGCAAAATGGATACAGATCCTTCAGTCGATAGCCTCAGGAAGGGACCAGACAAACAAGTACCCATCCATGAATCGCCATCTCTCAAATGTACTAGCTTTATCAAAAGCATATTTCGTAACTTACGCACGGTCGTGACTGCCCATATCAGTAAGTTCTTTCTGTCTCACTAACCGTTATCTCTGTGTAACCCTTTATTCTTTCAATTGCCACTTAAATAACATATTAATTTATCCCCAAAATAATGAAATCTCAGCTCTCAAACTACCGCCTTATAATTTGGGCATTACAAACAACCAACCTAATGTCTGGAACTGTGATTGCTGCTGGTATCCAGTATCCCAATCGCTCTGAGATAAACGCACTCACCCAGATAATAGGATATACAAATCCATGAATGACTACCACATTGACTAAAAGTAGTGCAGTCAAGTCGCCAGACTACCAACCATCGAACACTGCTGAATATCTGGAACTGTACTGAAGCAACAAGAAGCGAATGTAAACAAATCGAACAATTGTACTGTCTCGCGACTGAGATATTGGATATTGAATCAACAATAAAACCTTGACATGACTTTTTCATTTGAAATGCGGATCTGATTCTGTGGTTTTGCATTAATTTGGTCTTTCAAAAAACCGACCGTCGATTCTTATTGTTGTGTGTCTAACACACCGGTCAGCATTAGTTGATCAGTTGAACTGTACAGTTAAGGGCGTACATGAAATGATAATCTAAGTTGTTGTAGAGCCACTTCATACAATTTCAGGTTCAAATTTAAATCAATCGGACTGCTAAAAACTTGATATTATCATTTGACAATATGTTCCACTATCTTTCGTTATCGTTGCCAACCATATTACAATATAGGTCCTGGACACTTCAGTATTTTCCTACTACTACTTCACATGGGTATAGATCTATTAAATATCGATATTTAATAACCGCTTATGAACTAGGCGCTCTCACTGCTCAAACTAAAAAAATTTAAGTTCATGAATGTTAAAAATCTTAAAATTGATATAATGTGCTTCAACTTTCCCGTATATTGTCGGCATAGATTATTTAGTATGCGTAAAACACTAGGTCAGAGGTTTCAGCACGACGGTATGATGAGACCAACACGAGTTAGCTAATTGTTCAGTCCTTTCGTATTCATAGCTGCACAATTTCAAACGAAGTTCGCTGGCTATCTAGTGACTGTTACTTTAACGTCTCAGATTTTCATTTAACCAGCTTGAAGTTAATCTTTAGGCACGTACAGCCAGATACATTAATGCTTTCTACACTTCGTTGCAAAAACTTAATGGTCCAGCATCGAAAAAATCAAGCGTCTGAACTCGTTTGTCCTGTTGTTGTTGAGTTTATGGATATGAGGAGCTGTTATTTTTCAGTCGGTATGAAACTACTATTCTAGCTCATATATAAACGTCTTCTCTTATAATTTTGATTTCTTAGTAATTGTGAGCAAAGACTGTAGTTGATTTGTAATTTATCATAATTCCACTATTTAAGTCCCCGCAGTCGTCAAAAATGTGCTTAGTGCATTTGAAGTAATTTGTGTCGTGTTCTGTACTTAAGCAATCAATTTATGTAGATGGGTGTATTCAATCAGAGTCCTCTTAAGATCAGTTTCAATTGCCCAGTGCCTTGAGAAACAAAACTGGGAAAAGTTAATTACTATTTGATGTGTGTATATAAAATATGAAGATAAGTAGCAAAGACATGAGAGTGATTAAAGTTAAAAAGTTTTACTGAAAACGTTATTTATAGTACAAATATTAGATCTTAATAGCGACGACCAGTTAAAAATATGATGACTTGGTAATTAATTAACTTAATTGTGGTCCATGTCGGACATAATTAGTAGGCTCTTTCAAATACAAGTTATACAACATTACCGTTAAAGCTCATATGACCGCGTAAATTTACAAAAAGCTAGTATACAAGATTTAGAGCGTTCTTTGTTGTGTGATTTTTACCAAAAAAAGTATAACTTTGTTTTTTGCTTTAGCTACTTTGTCTCAATAAGTAAACGTATTTTGATTATTTGGATGGGGTTACTGAAATAATGGCGCGTTGGGCCGGTTACTAAATGTTCCAAGATGTATAAATTAAGTAAGATACAAACGTCTTAATCTAGGTATTTACCTGACTATATAACTTATTTCTCGAATATTTTAGCTTTATATAAAACCTTTCATACGTTAAAAAGTTTGAAGCTTTATGGTGTTTTATGACTACATGTAATATGCTCACTTAAGATTATTATTGTATTTTGTGGTACGTCGATTATTGTACGCACATATTTGGGTATCGTAACAGTAAATTTAATTGAATGATACGTATGTACTACAATGATTTTTTTCCGCAATTATATGTTAGACAATGGATTCTCAATATTTTTGCTACAAGTGTAAACTCAGCTACAAATCAACCGATCAACTTTGACAAACTACCACATGGGATCTTGAACTTTCATATGAAGGAAATAAGTGGAAACTATGGCCGTGAAACTCAAAACTTCTCAATATTAGACAAGACACTTATTGCACATAAAACATCTAGTGACTTATCAGTCAATCAAAATGAAATGTTAATTGGGAAAATTGCTCAATATAATCAGTTGCTAAATGTATCAATTATAAATGACCTAAAGTCAGCCTGCAAACCGGATGAAATACACATTACTCCTGAATTTAAGAAATCAGATCATACATCATGTTCTTCAAAGTCTTTACTTTACACAACATTTAAAAATAAAGACTTTTCAGGAAGGTCCTTATATATACCTCTATATTATGTTTGTTATGACTTGGACTCCACCAATTACTCTAAGAAGGAACGTATATTTGGAACAATAAACAGGAACTCAGTTTGTCCAAGACCAAGAGAAAATCCGGTGGAAATATCTGACAGAGGTACTATATATCATCATTCTATGGATCTTAGGTAAGTAGTACCTTTTATGATGTATTTTGACTCAAATATTGTCATGAAGTTTTAACAGTTAAAAAGCGTTTTAAAACCCGAACTCAACTGAAATTTTACACTTCAGTTATTTGGAACACTTACCATCATTCAATTCGTGCAAAGTCAATTTTCTAGTAAAACGTCTTTGCCATTCAAATTTCGAGTTTCTAGACGTGTAATGATAGGGAATCAAGCGTACTAAAGAAGTGCATGAAACAACGGTAATCCAATGAAATTTTCTTGTTAGTTATGACCTTGGTAGTACAAGCGATGTGAATAAGCTTATCATTTATTTATTTACTCAATGTAAATCAGCTTATTGTTGCCTTCAGCGTTTGTTCTTTTAGAGTAACTAACATAACGGGTCCTAATTGAAGATAGTTTCTTTTACATTCTGTTATCAGTTCACGAAACTTATGGTAAGAGTATACCAGTTGTCTTTGAGGTAGCTGTATTAGCAAGTAAACTAGATGTTTTGTGCAGTAATTTTCGTAGAAATAATTTGTAGTTGATTGAAGTTTGTAATAAGTGAAATCTAGTTGCTTTCAAAATTAAAGAGAATTGCTGTTTGAGGTGTCTATTCAAGCTGAATAAACAGCCAATATTCCTTGAAATCGATTACTTATCGGTTAAAATATCTCACGCACAAAATCATTGTATGCTGCTTACAAAGTTATTTTATTGCTGAACATTCAAGTCTTCAGGTTGAAACAAATTTTACACGCTTTTATAAGAGACACAGAATTGTGAAAGTAGTGAAGACAAAAGAGTAGATGGGCTTTCTCCTTCATCATATCAAGTTAAAGTGAAGGCTCATCAAAAAATGACGTTCTCTTTATCCAGTAACATTCTGTCAAGTTTATTACACTTTACAGGATAGTTAACGAGGTTCATAATGTCTGTATGTTCGTTGGTCACATTCTTGCTTGTGATTCCACCTTCTTAAATACAGATCAGAAGTGGCTGGTTTGCTCAATTTATAATAGCATATAGAACTCGGAATCATTACTGTCTTTGTTAAGTGACTTTTAATAAATATATAAGAGTGAAAAAATAGGCAAATATCGGACACTGTTTTAATTAAGCTTAAAACACTTTTTTCAAGAGCAACAGTTAGATAATGGACTTCATGTGCAATGCATCCATGTCAGTAGTAGTTTTTAATTCATTTCTTTCTTTCCGTTTCTTTACACAGAAAGTTAGTCCCATGTGCTGTAATATACTGGTCAAATGGATCTGCCAGTAGTATCAATAGACCAACAGTACCCTATTGCCTTGATCAACTCCCTGTTTATTTATCTTCACGGTTAAACTTCAAAAAAAATATACATGTTTGTAATGACTGTTATATGCGTCAAAGTAAATCTACAAATAGTGACTTTCAACCAATGATTGTTCACGATATGCCATATTCACAAGCAAATAATAGTTTTTTAAACCGGTTATTTATAAAACTGAAAAGATTTACAAAACTAATTCAAAAAATTTCAAAATCTGAAACAACTGTTTGTTTTAAAGGTTTCAAAAGCTGCGGTATTAAACAGTCTATGCTAAGTGAGCATAAACAGAAGAATTTGAAGTTCTATGCAGATGATAAATCCAGGGCAATGAAGTCACAAAATTTGGTTAAACAATAGTTAAGCATCATATTTATGATTCATCAGGTGGTTGCAGCTCACATGAGAAATCTCAAGTTATGTTATTCATAAATATATTAACTGATTTGATATTTAAGAAACGTTTTATCAACAGATGTATGGAACCAAGCTTTACACTTTTATTTCTACAAATAATTTAAAGATATTCTTAAAAACACTTTATTTTAGTTTTCTCAGATAGTTGTCGTGTATATGTCAAAAAATGTATAATGTGTCTTGTTCAATAAGTTGTAGAATCCATTATTTAAATGATATATTGATATAGGTGGTAATTGATAACCTTGTCCTGTACCATAAAAGCTGTACATTACTCCTAAAAATGAAGATATAAAAGTAAACAAAACTACAGATTTAAATATGTTTTGGTACAAATAGTAAAACTTGTATTTTATTATACGTATTTGTAATTAGTTATCTATTCGGGAATAAGTGAAAGCAAAATGAATTGTCGATAAACTGGCTGTTTAGGCCATCTCACTTTATTTACAAGGTTTTTTTTCTATGGAGCAGTTTATTATAGCAACACAAGGTATGCTCTTCCCAATTACAAACGACGATACTTATAGGTGAAATTTTCAGAAAGTAAATGTTAAACATATATTAAATTCCTGTTACCTGTCTCCACCAAAATATTTAGTTAAATTTATTTATAAATTGAAACAAACTAGCTCTTAGAAAAGCTGAAAAAACGTTTACATATCATATACTTTGGAAATTTATTATTTCAAGCTTTTTCTTTGTGTTTAGAAGCAACATGTTCAATCCTTTATGTTACCATCTTCCTAGTAATGTGGCCTTTATTTTATAGCTTGTTTTTAACCTTTTTTTATCTCTGTGTTCTTCATATTCATCAAATGGTCACTTATTGTCCAAATCTCTCTCCCGTGTGTTATTTCCACGATTATAACACTTTACTCACCACATAAATTATACTCAGCACTCAAAAATATTTGATTATCTGTTGATGTCTTTGTTAATGATACTACAGTTTCCTATTTTATGGTAGACCCTTGTAAAATTAATTAAAAATATGACGGTAAAGCTTTACTATGTGACATCATTGAACGAAAACTTCCTTTCCTTAACCATCTTCATTTTGTTAAGTAACACATAATTATTAAGTAGTAAGAATTCAAACTTTGGTGTGCAAATGAACTATTTTTCAAGTTTTCCTGAATATTTATTACAGAACTCGCTCATAGCATGACGTAACGAAATTTTTAAAAAATGAATTGTGTGTTTTTAACATGCAACTGTCAATAACTATATGAACAATCTATACACTGAATTCAACCATGATTTAATCAAAAATACCAATAAACTGCGTTTTTAGATAGGTAGTCATGTTGAGTAGGCCATGTAGTCAATTACCCTAATTTTATAGCAACTATAATCTAGTTTATCATTTTAAAACATGTCCATCCTATATTACAATTTTAATCCTTTATATTTGTCGTCGTAAATTTGTTAGATATTTTTCTACTTGTTTATTTTCTGGTTGTTCATCGTTCACTTGCTCAAAGCTTTGCTTATTAAGCCATTTGAATTACGGTTTTTATGTTACTTTTGACTTACTAATAGGATAACATTGCGGATAGGTATGAAAAAGGATCGGAATAGTGATCTTCATCACCATGTGACATCGGCTAGGAAAAACTTTGAACTGAGGAACCACTAAACAGCTGTTTTATTTACATTTGAAACTGCCTGAAGGAGTAAGCTCTTCACCTAAAACAGGCTTTATCTGAGACCTGTGGGGATCGATACTTTCATACTGTTAAGTTATGTTTTAAACATCTGATTATTCGTGAAAACACTGATTTTCAGTTGATGTTTTAACAAATAACTGTCTTAGTAAATATATTGAAAACGAAATTTCATGAATATTGTCATAGATTTTTAAAACATAGACCAGTTCATAATAAATTAAATACTATTAATCTGACATTTATAAACAGCTATTTTTTATATTCACCCATTAGCGACTGAAATGATACAATTTACCAATATCAGAATGAGTTTTGTGGAGATTTTAGTAAATTTCACAGGTTGTAATCATGAGTCAGTTGAAGCTAGACCACCATTGAAAACCTGGAAGCACTGGACGGCCGTTTCGTCCCAGGAACAAGTGCTTTATTCTGAATTGTATTAGTTATGTCGAACAAGTACTGGTTCGTTTTATTATTTTTTTCGAATTAACAATTCCATTGTTAGCTGAATGATCTTAATTTGTGTTACTCTTAATGACCATTAGGTTGTGTTGCTTTATTACATAATCAATTAATTTTTTAGCTCTATAATCTTTTGCTATTGTTTCACCCTTTAGAAGGCTCCTAGAAAATCATATTCAGTTGTGACACATTTCATATTTCTTTTATATTTCTTCAACTATATAACAATTATTCTAGTCCACTACAATGATGCTTAGCCACATGTAGTGAATTTCACTGTTTTAAATACGTCAACTTTTTAATGTTTTTTTATTACTTTAAAAGCGATTAATAAGAACCTCATGGAATAAAATGAATTAAAGTTGTCCCATTCGAATACCTCTTAAAGATAATAAACGTAATTAAATCTATGAAATTCAGACTCATTTTTTTGGATTGGCAAGTTGTCGTTGTTGAAGGCAATGTATTATTTTTAAAACTACAGAACCCTGTTGATAAAAAAGGTTTCTGTACACTTATAAACGCTAGAAAATAATTAGTATATAGTGTATACTTGAATCAGATTGTAAATTATTTAAAATTTTCAAATTATTTATCAGAAACATTATGGGTAATATAAGCTAAATGAGTAAATAATCCAATTTCTAATCAAGTTAAATGTTTATCGAAGAACTTCATAGAGACATAAAATAATAAAGAATCGAGTGAATAATCAAAAAGAAAAAGAAACGTTTTTTAAAATATACATTTTAGCGGGACATAGATTGGATTAAATTATGCTCAATGCACTCCTGCGTTGACGCACACTGATTCGCTAATTCTTATCCAATCAGCGCTAGTCGGTACTTGGAAGACATTCTAGAATCTTCTCATGTAAAAACTATAAATATACTAACGTGTTTCCTATTGTGCTTCTTTCTTCCATCTAACCTTGTTATTTGGAATATAATCTCTTTTCTTGTTCAACCGTGTTCTGATTTGGAAGACTTGTCGGGTGAATCGGTGTCCGAGAATACTAAGCAATAGGAATAGTTGGGTTATAACCGTAAGAGAGAATTATAACAATACAAGACGAAAATATCTACATATTTTCTGACAGTGAATGAATCTGATAAGTTGATAGAAAATATTCGAAAATAATTAATGTCACATTTATAAATAATAAATTGATAAACTTATGTTAACTAATAACCCAAAACAATCTTTGTATCTTTTATTTCATAGAAGAAAACTATATATTTACCTTGGAATAGGTTATTTCGTTTTAATTATTGATTTAACATATGTTTATGAGTAGCTGATGAGAATGACTTGATAATGAAACGTTTCATTCATTCACCCATATATATATTTGTCTGTATAACCTGAAAAATGCTCATTATTCTTTGTTTGAACGCTCTTTTACATTGTTTCCTTAATTTAAATATAAGAAAATAAGAGGGATGTTATTATTATTTAGTTAAATATAAATACAGGAAAGTCAACTAATGTATACATATGTATATATAGGTATTGTTCTTAAGGTCAAGGGTATTGATTGATTGTCTCATTAATATAATTATATCTTATAGATTTTATCTTACTTAATTTTCAAATATAGTGAAAATTCCCATTTTGCCATTTGGTAAATAAAGAAGGAACGAATTGAGCGAAGAAATTTCTTTTCAATTAGTTTTTCATCATGGCTCTACACTAATATCTAAATGATTTACAATAATAATATAATACTCATTGAGTGGATACGTTACGTAATAGCTACATAATGATATTCAAATTAACATTGAGTAATTGGAAGAAAGAGGAATATTAATATTCAAAGTAATTATTAAATCACTTCTTAAATGACACCATTGAAGAAGTCATGACTCAGAAACTACGAAGGGCTGTACAAAAAACATTTAATGCTGCCAAATGAAATGTCATCTTCTACAACCACCGGAAAATAAGAACATCCATTAAAGACAGACTACCAGAATTCGCCAAATCTATATGTATCTATCGTTTCAACTACTCCTGTGGAGCCAGTTACATAGGGCGTACAATTCGGCAGGTCCATCACCGCATTACAGAACATCATCCGACATGACTAAGCAAAGAACAGGTGAAAGTAATTAAAAGCTCTATTCTCTCTCACTTGGTTGACACAGGTCATCAAGTTGAATTGAATAAAGCTTTTAAGGTTATCTACAATATTCCATCAAATCTACCACATGGTTTACGAGTACGCCTTTTGCACATTGCGGAAGCCATCGCAATCCATGTTCACAAACCTGACCTTTGCATCCAAAAGAAATTCGTACAACCACTTTCTCTGCCCTGGCATTCAGTATAAGGTTTCCGTCATAAGAACTATTTTTCATACTTCTTCCACTTCCTTTTTTTTAAATTTTTGTAATTTTGTTTCTATTGCTTTTGAACTTTATAGCTTATCAACATTCATCTCTTGGTTTTTTACGTAACTACTGTCCATCCGTTAAAATTCTGTTTCATCTCTGTTTCTTATAGTACGCAACGTAGCAACTTCTTGATTTAATAATTACTTTGAATATTAATATTCCTCTTTCTTCCAATTACTCAATGTTAATTTGAATATCATTATGTAATTATTACGTAACGTATCCACTCAATGAGTATTATATTATTATTGTAAATCATATATATATATATCAGTGTAGAGCCATGATGAAAAACTAATTGAAAAGAAATTTCTTCGCTCAATTCGTTCCTTCTTAACTTTCAAATGTTGTCATTTTTTTTCTACAACTTTATCTTCATTATGATAATGTAAATGAATTATTCCTATTAGTT